AAAATTATTTCTTTTAAAATATATGTCACAAAAGGTTAGATTATCTCATCTAACCGATCGATGGTACCTTAGTTCCTCTAGAATTAAAGAGATTTTTTTATATCAACAGAAAGAGATGAGACGAATCCATATAGATAATAGAAATTTCTCTATTGCCGAATTATAGAGCATCGATATGCTTCTTTCCAAAAGCGTCAAGATGCCTCTGCATAGCTCGTGATATTATATTGGGAAGGAATTGCCTCACACTCTAGATATCATAGGTTGAATGATCCTCCAAAAAATATTGTGATGCCTCTACTCAGCATTAGGAATCTCTCAATTGCTATTAAGAATATAGAGATGCCTTTGTCCTAGTAAGGGGAGACAAAGAGCTCCTCATTGCTCCTACCAAGACGAAATGTCTCCACCCGTTGATCGGACTCCTCCGAGAATGTCGAGTTGCCTCCTCTATTAGTGAGGATACGGAAATACCCCCACTGCACTTAAAATATAAAGATTACATGACGAACTTTTAACCGATCGAACAAAGGCAAAATGTATTCTCTAAAGTAAAAATAATAATAATAATAATAATAAAACTTTGACCTTTGTAAAGCATTGAGAATTCTTTGCAGTCTACCTATATAGACGTGAAAATTACTTTACTCAAATCTAGCCGATGAAACTAAACTATGGACTCCACCGATAATTTCAAAAGCGTTGAGAATCCAAAATTTTAGGATCCATCCAAAGGCGAACAGTTGTAGCCTTTTGATTTGACAAACAGTTACAGACCTTTGACCTTTGATTTGATTACTGTTAAAATCATCACCGAGAAATTATGTCAAATAATAGTTTGGTAAATTAATTTTTTCGGCAAAACCATTTACCCTACAACTTACACCTTATTGAATTTAACACTCACACGTACTAAAAGCCAATATATAAACCTCAAGATAGAAGGAGAAAAGGATATTCTTATTCCTTTCTTTTGTTTCTCCTTCAAGATTCTTTTTCTCATCTAAAGCATGATTTATCGTATTGAATACGCCAAAAGACAATCGATTACGGCTCTCCACCTAAACTCGATGAAGTGAATAGCTTACAACTTACATAACACACATTGTTACCATATACCATATGTAATACACGAAAACTCAGCCAATGCCAACGATAATGCCAGCCTAACACAATTGTCTCAAACAGAGGATACGTACTCAACAGATCACATGTTCATTCCATCAAGCTCAAAGCTTAGCAACCTAGGATAAAAGAAGAGAGGTCCATCCATAGGTGAATAATTCATCCCTACCCAGAGACGGAGCTATGGGATTGGAAGTATCATGCCCTATCTATAAAATGGTAAGTTTTGATTTTAGTTTCTTTAAATTTTTCAATAAATACAAGGAGAAAAATACATTTGGACTCTTAAGAAAATGATAACCAAGCAGGCTAAAGTGGAAGCAAGTTACGTGGTTCTGACCAACCCATGTTTTCAGGAGTTTTTGTTTCCTTCTTACAGTTGATGTGAACATAACGTTGTTTTGTTTCAACCTGGGGATTTGAAGTCCAGCTGTCTGAAAGTTCAGCCCATGATCTGAGAACTAAATTATTAAGGAACCCTAGCTTCAATCTCAGGCCAACTCGTGTCTATATATTATGAGCCTTTTTGCTTTTCTAGTTGGACAGTATACTCAGTCGGGCTTGGGAATCTAATAATGCACATCAAAGACATACTGCTTCCAATGAACTTGTGAAATTATACTCCTTCAAAGTATTTACGTTGCTTTCGAATTTAGATATAGATATGGTCATTTAAATGTAAAAATAATACACATTTAATTTTTTAAATGATTGTTTCACAGTATTACAATATCTAAAGAATACAACAATAGTCTTGTCATTAGCGAGGCTGCTCCTTGAAGCATATTACAGCTCAGGATTAACCTGTTCTCATTCATCTGAAAGCTAGTAAATAGTGCTGTGACCAGCCCCTCTTTGACTGGGTCCAGAATAAGCTTGAACTACCTTCAATGTCTTGATTGAAGTAGGAGAAATTGAATGCTTGAGAAGCCTAAAGGCCCCCACCTCTGCTAATTGAAATTGGATAAGAACAATGAAGCCAATGAAGATAGGATTCAAGGCAAAAATGACTACACTCTGAGCATTCTTCATCATGTCGTTGCTATTATGTTTACTAAATCCTAGTGAATGCTACCTGCTAGAGTGTTGCGCTCTTATTGGAAGACTCCAAATTTTTGTTTGGTGGCTGTCGATAAATAGTGCTCTTTGGGGTATAAATAAGGGTAGACGCAACACGCAAGGACTTGTCCTTTCCTGACCCTATTGGAAAGTGAAGAATGTTTGAAAATTCTTTGAAAATGTTTTAGTATATATGGTAAATATACGGCGTACCAAATAAAGTCTAGAGTAAGACGATTAATGATTGGTTATGGAACTTGTTTGTTCTTTTCTGACCCTGCTGAGCTGGTCGATACGTGTTTCATATTCGTGCTCCCGTGATGCAGGCAAGATATCAACAGCTCTTGCTTAGTTAGCAAAGTTTAGTAGTGGTATACTGTATAATGTTTAAAACTGCACAAGATCCGCCATATGTGTCAATCCTTCAAATGCGACGCAGTCGGCTCTGCTACTTAAGGCTTCTATAATTAACTTTTGAAGGAATTATTGTTCCATTATTGAAGGAAAAAAACAATAAACAATACTCAGCGTGGTTCACAAGGTTAGTTAAGAATGTTGAATGTATAATTTGCTCACAATTTATTGGTATAAGATTGTAGCATCAAGTCAACTTGGATTGGAGGATTTTATGATAAGACATCAAGTCAAATAAATATTACCATTTTAGGTATTGGGACTCTAACCGTCGTTAAAATATGTCACGTTATGTTAGTTTTAAGAATTTTTATTTAAAATAAAAAATAGAAATATATTTTTTTATAAAAATTCTAGAATTTTCTCAAATCTTAAAAAAATCTAAAACTTTTTAATTCCTATACCCACGTTAGTCGTCACTTTTTGCCGTCAACGTTGCCATCGATCGAACCTAACCTTGACCATGCCTCCACCCTACGGCCAACCACTTGACGAACAACCAACGACGAACCTTAAATTGCAATTTAAACCCAATGTCGGCAAGGAAAAAACACGACTTTTTAAGTGACTCTACGTAGTCATGTTGGCTTCGGTGGCCGTTGGTGGCAAGGGAGAAATAAGGGTTAGGATTAGATATTTGGGGATTATTTTAGGGATTTGATTTTTTTTGGTAATATTAGATAAATTGTAGTTTTTTTATAAATATAATACATTTTTTAAGTTTTTAAATATTTTTTAAATTAGCAGAACGTGACACGAGTCACTTAAAAAGATTTTTTAACAGCGGTTACGTTTATAATGTTAAACACTTAAATTGACCGGGCAAAAAATTAAATACCTATTTAGAAAAATGGTATAATTTAAATACTTATTTTTATATTAAGTAAAAGCTTTTGATGTAGGCACACTTTGCGGACACTTCACACTCTTTCAAACTCAAAACTAGCCAATTTATCTTCATTTTGTCCTCTGTAAAATGGTATATATATATATATATATCAACTATCATTATAAATATTATATATTTTTATGTCATATACGTACACATATTTATAAATTTCATATTTAAATATAATTATAAATTATTATAAATTATTAATATCAATACACATATTTAATTATATTTTAAATAGGTTTAACATTGCTTGATTCACTAATGGCTGTCCCTTTTTCCCATATATATATGGGGTAGGGGGAGGTAAGATGTAGGCTACCCCCAACACTAGGTTGAGAGCAGCTTCCGTAAGAGACCTCCAAATTATGAAATGCCCTCCGTGAGACTCGATCCCACGACCTCAAGGTTAAGAACCTTGTGCTCTACCAACTGAGCTGGATGGTCATTTCAATTGCTTGATTCACTAACTTATTATAATATGGGTAAAAACTTGTGAAAACCTTGACATTTCATTGGCCCGCAAAAAAAGAAAAAAGTAAACCCAAATTTGTTTAAAATATAGTAATCGTAATAGTTAGAGGACGGAAAGAAAGGCCGAGTCAAACAAACTCCTGCCAAAAGGAAGAAATTATTGGTAAATTACACCGTTTCTTACTATACTTTATTTTATCTCCTATTTTGCTCATTATATTTTTTATTTTTCCAATTTACTCACATAATTTTACATATTGAATTATTTTGCTCACTCCCTGTTATCTCTCTAACGTTTGACGATATGACATTAATTTTTAATATAAAATAATTTTAAAAAATAACAAAAAAAGTTGAAAGTAGTTGGATGCCACTGTCGGTGACCGACGACCACCTTAGACGGTGATTGTTTTGTCTTAAATTTCATGGGTCACTTCCACTCGATACCGTGAGTCCGAATTTGACCTCCATTTTTTAGAACTTGTTCCAAAATCCACGAATTTGATATTGAAATTGAGGAAGCCGAAAAGTTTCAGTCTAGATTCACGAGTTTTGTGACATTTTCCGGTGAAACAACCATCAAATTCGGACTCAGGGGGTCGAGATGAACTGACACATGAAATTTGGGACAAAACGACGATGGCATTCGGCCATCTTCAATTTTTTTGTTAATTTTTTTAATTATCTTCTATTAACACCGTTAAATAGTTAACAACAGAGTGATCAAAATGATTCAATCTATAAAGTTTAGTGAACAAATTAGAAAAATTAAAAATATAGTAAGCAAAATAAGAAAGATAGTAAAGTACAATGAAAAACGATATAATTTACCCAGAAATTATTATACAGATCCGACTATCACATCATTAATAGTTCCGATTACTTATATTTATAAATTTTGGAATAATTTTTAAAAAACTACTAACTCATTATTTATATGTAAAAAAAATTGAGATTCACCTTAAAAAATAATTTTTTTATTATTTTAGATCACATATGACACGTGGTGAATTTAATCTATTTAATAATTTTTTGTCAAAGGACCCACTTCCGAAAAGTTCGTCGACGTCCACATCAAGCAAGATCCTTATATACATGGACAGAGCGATAGCTAGCATTGCCACACCAATATTTCAACGGCTACAGATTACCCAATTCAAAGCAATTTAAGGAGCATTTGTTGCGGGATAGAAGATCAAGAACAGCTAGCTCAACATCTTTCATTCATCAATGAAGTGTGTTCTCTTTGTACTGGGTGTCTTGGCGTTGCTGGTTTCAATACAGCCACATGCAGTCCATGGGCGAGCCTTTCGATCAACCAAGACGGAGGAAAGTGTGGTTGTTCCGGGAAGGGAAGGAGAAGCGGTGGGTGTTGCTGACTCGGCAAGCAATTCGTTCAAGCGAATGGCTTTTAGATTAGCCTCGGGACCAAGCAGGAAAGGTCCCGGGCATTGATCTTAAAGCATATTCTTGGGGACTCGTTTTTCCCCAACCTATATACGAGGACCCAGGTGGAAGCATTCCACTTGATGCACAGATTCGTAAACTACAGAATATGTTTTCCTCTTTAAGCTCCATCAGGGAAAATAGGGGATTTGTTTTTCCATTCGTTTAAGAAAACAAGTTTTGATTATACTTGTAATTTGACAGTGTAGGGAGTGATACACTTTTGATCAGAATTAGGATATACTTTTTGATGACGAAGAATTCAATTGATGATGTGCTTTGTATGATTGTCTGCAAATCTTCTGCCACTTGTCTCTCTTTTTCCCTCCAATAATTCGTTCAAGAGCTGATCTAAACCCAAATGAAAGCAAGAAATTTCGGTATCTAATAACGCAATCTACCAAACTCCAAAAAAACAAGATTAAAAATATTTCTTAATTATTGATAATAATCGTTTGAATTCGAATTTCTTAAAGAAAAAATTATACACTCTTTTATCAATAAAGACACTCAACGAATCTATCACATTTGAAATCGACAGTGTTAACAACCCCATCTTCAGTACGTAGCTGAGCTTGGAATGAATGATAAATTATAAGCACAGTCAACAAGGACTACAGATTTCTAAGGTTATACACCCAGTGGAAGAAACAACAAATCTATGAAATCATTTATTTGCTTGTATGTTTGTACCATGTTCATATTCATCTACTCTTTTAATTATGAAATTTATTTGAAATATTTTCAAAACATTCCAAGTATTTTGGTCAAAATAAAATCGCTTTAAGCTTTCGGCGTTGTTAATGCATAAAATTGTCAAATACCGTCACCTAACTCTGGCAAATCCACCTTCTTCTGTCCTTTTGTGCACTAATAATAGAAGCAAATGCGACATTCCTAGTCAGATTCTAAAAGTCATCAAATTGTTAGGAAAACCGGTGGAAGTTTTGAAAATTGAATTTCAAATATTACAATGGCATTCAGTCCAAAACTCTGCAATTTAAGTAGCTACATAATACTCTTTTTTGACATTATAGACCCATTGCAAATGAAAACAAAGTGGAATAGATATGCCACTTCACTTCCAAGCTTCTTTAACAAAGCTAATAGGATCACTTGATTCGGTATGGCCGACACTAGCACAATTTCAAGTCCCTTAAAGGTCAGAAGCTCTACTGCACATTGACTCGTTTCTTTCATATTATGAGATAGACTTTTATGTGGTACATATATGAAAAGTTCAGTTATTATATAAGTTTTAAATAGTTTTTCATAACCCAATTCTTACAAATTTAAAATTAAAATTATGAATAAAAACTCAAGTAAACAAACAAATAACTTTTTGTTCAAATTAAACGACATATGCGAGTAAAATTATCGAATGAAAGTAAGTTACTGTTAACCCATACACTAAAACATGAGAACAAAAAATAATTTTGTTACAAAAATATTAAGAATATTTTAGCATTTGTGCCATTGTTAAAATAATGTTGTTGAACGAACAAAATTCTCCGCGCAAAAACATTCAGAAAAGGAGCACAGCAACCAAACAAAACAATGGTCAATTATCGGAAAATCAAACAAAAAATCCCGTACTCGTTTAACACAGCAAAAGTGTTAGGATAATGGTTTGAGAAAAAAAAATAGCTCATATAGGCCCTTAAAAGAATTATTTTCTTAACCAGGATGAGAAATAAATAATGCAGGGGGAAGTCGGCCGGAGCCCTTAGCGTCTTCAAAAAGTCAACCGGAGCACCTGACCTGACGTCTTCACGATCTTCAACCCTCTGCTGCATTTACCGGTTTTTGGCCATCTTAAACATGGAATTGCGCCTTTTTTGTGGAAATGCTTTAAAATTTTCCACTTCAAGCAGTATAAGAAACACGTCGTATTTCCTACCTTCTTCTCCCAAAAGTGCTCTGGCCGAAGACGAAGACACTATTTCTTCCGGCCGAATTCCTAAAGATGCTAGGTGCTCCAGCCGCCTTTCCCCATGCACTGTTCATACCACCCTAGTTAAGAATACCCCATATAAGCCATTTTTTCCCAAACCTTCATCCCAGCAATTTTGCCGTTTTAACAAGTTCTCCCAAAACAAGTTGCTTGATAAATGAGAAAATGTGGGAAAGCACTTGCACGGTTCTCATTGCTCAACTAGGAATAGTTGAGCAATGAAACTAGGAATAGTCGAGCAAATGTCCTATAGCAAGCAAGAAACTAGGAATAGTCTCAACTCAAAACCTAACCATGGCGCCAGAGGGAATACGGTTAGTTGGACATAAGAGTTATTTGTACAAGGCAGATGGAAGTGCACAACAGGCAAGGAAAATTGTCTTGTACTGAACTTCAAAGTTCAATCTAGTTAGTTTATAACGTTAATTTTACAATATGGCATCCATAATTCAAATTCTTTTGTTCTCCTAACTTATACAAGAAAAAAAATTCCAACAATAGGTGAATGCAACACAAAGTTTATGAGAACGGAAGCTCAATCACCAGATAGGAGTGAAGCAAGATAAAAACAAGGTTTAAATATTGATTATTTCATTTACCTTTGAAAATGAAGTCGGATGATATCCACCTACAATTCAAACATCAAAAGACAATACAGGATCCAATGGCATTAACAACAAAAAATAAATGATATTTCATCTAATCAAGATGCTAGCTGGAGGTATGGGATAAAGAATGCCACCAGAAATTCAACTCTGTTGCAATGCAATTCTTAAGCAACGCCAAGAGCCAGGCAACAATAGTTGAGTAGAAGGGTTGAAGCTGTTAGAGAAATAAACTAATGCACTACCAGCAGAAAAGGAATATGATGCAACACAGCATATGGATGTGGCAAGCAAAGAGATTCAGTATACATAAAACGGAAATGATTTCGGAGAAAAGAATCTGAATTGTATTCTTTGAACATTTTACATGTAACAAAGAATATGACATATCATGTTAATACAGAAAACGAATAGGTCGTTCAAACATGTATCTACCTCATTCATATCAACTGAATGTTTATAATTATCAGGAGATAAGTTCATAGGAATGCATTTCCAATGAATATACTCTTTCTCGATAGCACTAATACTATCCCTTGCTTTTATTAGACTCTAATTTACAGCAAAAATCCCCTATATCTTTCATATCTTGATGCCTATAATAGACCCAAGAATCCCTTCAAATGCAAATTAACTTTCCAAATCAATAATTATTCCCCCCCCCCCCCCAAAAAAAAAAAAGAATAAACACGAACAGAAGAAATGGCCTAAATAAAATGCAGATACCTATTCCGCTTAGAAATCCTACATCAAAACTCAAACATGAATTTCAACTCGATCACTCGTGATTCCATTATGTTCTGCAAGTTCAGAACAACAAATGTCTAATTCCTATGAAACTAATGACTGAATTTGTGAAACAGTTGATGGAACACACATAGTAATTAAGGTACAGAATGCTGAAATGCTGATGAGTTACTGGATATAAAATCATCAATGAATAACAAAATTCTAGCACCCTTCATTTTGCACCGTATCAATGAATTAAACAAGGATCCATCAAGATTACAGAAAAACACAAAGCAAAAACAAAAAACACAAGATACTGACAAATATTATTATCATGCTATATAAGCAATTAAGTATCCCGCAATGACCATGGTATATAAGCAAGTAAGCATCCGCAATACTTTATAGTCCGTACAAACAGATCTAATAAAACCCTAGCAATACCGAATATCAATGTAAACAACAAAGAGGCCCTAAAGAGACGAGAATGTTCAAACTCAATCCTCGTCCTTGACCGAGAAGGACGAATTCTCCTCAGAAACTGCAGTTCCCACATTATTCGAGTCTGCCTCTGCCGAACCTGAGGGAGTAGAGTCAGTGGCAGCGGCAGCTCGAGCTTTGACAGAATCGAGCATGCGCTTGCTGATTTCCTTGGAATACACCTGGAGAATCTCGATGCCATCCTCGTCGGTGGAAAACGATGCCTCGGCAACCGAAAAAGCCTCCTCCTCGATCAACTTGGCCACAGCAGAAGCCTCCTCCTTAGGGATCGTTCCATAGCGTTTGGAAAGGACGGATTCGGACGACAGCGTCTCCACGAGACGATTGAGGACGGCGTCACGAGTTCGTTGGGTGGGTGGCCAAATTTTAAATGTGAGGTTGTTGAGCTTGGCGGCGGTGTCGTCTACTTGGGTTTGTGTTGCTGCGGTGGAGTCGTTAGCAGTTTCGGATTCAGGATCAGCCATTTCTTTGGTAGGGGAAATCAGAAAGGTTTGTTAATGAAAGAAAATTTGAGGAAGGGGAAAAGAAATATAATAGAATGTGGGTTGGCTTGGGCCGAGGTGGGTTGAAATGAAAGGGATAGGCCAACTTTACTTAAATCTGCATCTACTATAATGGAATACTTTTCAATGATTAAAACACTTCAAATTTCTGCATTTCCTTCATTGTTTAGGTGTTTGTGATTTGGTTGTCAACAAATCAACTTCTGGTTTTCGATTAAGGCAGGCAATGAACAATTTTTTATCCCTGAAGAAGCAATCTTATCTTGCTCAAAACTCAAACCCAACTCAGTTGCCAAGTGCTAACAACTTAAGCCCCATTGAACTTACTTCGCAACAAACCAGGTTTCCCACATACCCATTTTATTGTCCCGTCAGAGTTGGCACTTAAGCTGCTTCCCACGCCCCCACAATTTTCTTGTTAAATAAAAAAATCTTATAATATACGATTTTAACCAATTTTTTTTGGATTTACCAAAATGACCAACTAAATCGCAATGCGATCGATAATTCGCAACGCGATCTCCGGTATCGCAAATCAGTTTCCAGATTCACAACGCGAACATCGATTATCGCAACGCGAACTTCGACTATCGCAATGCGATTTTCCAAATTCGTTGCGATAGTCCAAGTTCGTTGCGATAGTCGAAGTTCGCGTTGCGATTTATTCCAAATTCGTTGCGATAGTCCAAGTTCGTTGAGATAGTCGAAGTTCGCGTTGCGATTTATTCCAAATTCGTTGCGATAGTCCAAAATCGCATCAACTGGTGGTATTGCATTTGTTTCTTAAGAATTTTATCTAAAAAGATAGTATTCGCGCGGACGTGTCGAAGACATGTATTACCACGACCACGACCCGAGACGGACGGCGGCGCGCGAGAGTCCCCCTTGTTCTCTATCACTCAACAAGAAAGTGAGAAAGTCAAGCCTTAAATACCATTCCCAATAGTGTTTCCAATACTATGTGAGATTGAGCATTACCAACACTTGTTCCCAATACTATGTGGGATTGAGCCTTAAATAGTGATATTATTTGTGAATTATAGTTAATGACTTTAGTATTTGTATGAAAAATATTTGTGGTCCGCTTAGTTTTCATGCAATTCTAATTTATTTTCAATTGATTGTAATTGCACGATAACAATTTTTTTTATTCTCGCGAGTGATGCAATTTTTTTTGAATGTTTTGCTTAAAATTGCAATAATCGCGATTGATTGTAGATTGACTTTTAATTATGACATATTTAATCGTATAATACTAATACAATTGGCTGTTGATTTAGTTATTTTAAGGTGCATGATTGTTAATTGTTTCTGAATAATCACATAGTATTGGGAACAAGTGTTGGTAATACTCAATCCCACATAGTATTGGAAACACTATTGGGAATGGTATTTAAGGCTTTGCTTTCTCACTTCCTTGTTGAGTGATAGAGAACAAGGGGAACTCTCGCGCGCCGCCGCCGCCGTTCGTCTCGGGTCGGGTGGGGTCGTGGTAATACGTGTTTTTGACACGTCCGCGCGAATACTATCTTTTTAGAGAAAATTCTTAAGAAACAAATGCAATATCACCAGTCGTTGCGAACTTGGACTATCGCAACGAATTTGTAATAAATCGCAACGCGAGCTTGAACTATCGCAACAAATTTGGAATAAATCGCAACGCGAACTTGGACTATCGCAATGTGATAGTCAAAGTTCGCGTTGCGATAGTCCAATTTCGCGTTGCGAATCTGGAAACTGATTTGCGATACCGAAGATCGCGTTGCGAATTATTGATCACATTGCGATTTAGTTGGTCATTTTGGCCAATCCAAAAAAAGTTGATTAAAATCGTATATTATAAGGCATTTTTGATCACTGAAGTTATTTTCTCAAATAAAAAAGGGCTAAAATCAGAAGCTTTACCTACGTTTAGGGGCGATTCATTCGCAGATTTTTTTTAAAATATCATTACTAAAGGGAATATTTTTTTTAAATTGTAATTTTAGGTTTAGTTCATAAAAAAGATAATTGTCAGGTAATAATTTATTATTAGTAGTATAATTTTTTTGATCAAAATGGTGATAATATCATTATCTCTCAATTCTTAGGTAATGAATAATTCTCACCACTTCGAATATAAATACCCTTGAAATAATAAATTATTTTCATATATATCATTCACAATTCTTATTCTTCGTGTTTTACTCAAAATTATAAAATTAATAGTAATAATATACAAATAGTTTAATCTAGTAAAATATTAATAAATTTGAGTGGTTAAAATTATTTTATATTTTTAATATTAGTATATTAATTATTTTATAATTTTCTGAGGTGAAAATATTATTATTGTAAAAAATGTAATTATTTAAAGTAATATCTAATTTTAAGTTATTTAAAAATAAATCTTATATATTAAAAAATAATATTATGGTCTCAACTGGACAAATATAACAATTATAATATTTTTATAAATTTTCATTCAAAACATTTATAATTTAATACTAAAGTTTAACTTGTTAAAAAGAACATATATCATAAGTATAATTTAATAAAATATGCATTCAAGTAATCTTATATTTTTCTAACCAAATATTGTAATCTTATATCTCTGTTAAACAGACCAAACAAGGTATAGTAATGTTACATTCTACTAATCTTATTCTCAAATGTAATCTTATATCCTGTGAATCAAACGCCGCGAATATTAGGAGTATAAGCGTTCATTGTCAAATAGTTAAGAGTCTTTAAATATATACTACCTTATATTCATCACAAATTTATCAAAATAAATAAATAAAATCTAAAAAATTTAAGGTGTAATCAATTATGATTGCGAGTTCTCAAAGTTTCACTTCAAGAAGAACACTTCACTTTTATTACACAGAAGGATCGTAAATTAGCTGGACTTATCTGCAGTAAGTTGAACAAAGTATTTCCCGGTATGCTTTTGCATACACACGTAGGTGTTGGTAATGGTAGCATGTCGGATTGTGGAAAGCAGGTTGAGCATGCAAGGGCGGGGACTGCACAAATCTACCAAGGGCTCAGCTTTAGGCATGGTTAGTCCCGTGCCTTCCTTCATATCGATTTCCACCTCACCAATCCTATTCCACTCAAATGACTGAATCAGGGCACCAAGTACAAGTCCAACCACTTTTCTACCTAGATTAGCTCCGGGACATGCTCGTCTTCCAACACCAAAGGGTAGTAATATATACCCTTCAGGTTCACCAGCTATGAATCTCTCCGGCATAAATCTGTAGGCGTCCTCCCAAAGCTTGGGTTCCCTTTGGATAGTCCACGCATTGACAAATAACATTGTTCCACGTGGCACGTTATAATCACAAACAACACAATCTTATGATGATTCATGCGGTAGGAGCAATGGAGTTGATGGAAATAATCTCATACTTTCAGAAATTATGGATTGTAAATAATTCAACTTTGGCAAGTCTGTTTCATCTAAAAGCTTGTCATGTCCAACTTCAGCAGCTATTTCAGACCAAGCTTTATGCAGGACTCCAGGATGATTAAGAAGAATTGACATAGTCCATTCTATGATAGCTGATGAAGTTTCAGTTCCAGCACCTATCACTGACTATTGACAAGTTTCAAAGATGTAGAAATTTAAAAATTATAGAGATAAAAACGAATACAGTGTATATATGATTTGATCTTTTAAAAAAAAATTGAATTTATAAAAATCTTTGAAAAAAAATATAAATATATTTCTTTGAGAAAAGTGGACTTAAAAAAATGCAAACAAATGCTATCACCATTCACATGGTAACTATCAATGACGCACAAGTTCGGAGACTTTCGAGCATGTTAACCTACAAGATGTAAAAAAAAATAATAATAAAAAAATCGCATTAATGATTCATGGATCTTACCAAGATATCTGCTTTTATGGTTTGATCGGTATAGAATTCCGGTTCTGTTTGTTGCAAGGATAACATGATAACGATTAAATAAGTTTTTGTCCCTTTGTTGCTTCCATCAGATGAACCCAAAGGCTGATCGGTTGAATCTTCCCTCATCTTTCTATGCTCTTCAAGAAGAGACTGTAAGAGCTTGTCCAGTTTCTTCATGGCTCCTTTCATCCTCCTCTCCACACCTTGGAAGTCAACCCACTGCAGAACAGGAAAAAAAGTCATTCACATGTGCGCTTCCATGGATCTCAACAGCCTCTCTCATGATGTCTCGAAACTCCTCTGCTTCCTTGTCCACTGCATCTTTCCCGTAATACCTCTTTCCAGCAATTATCCTTAGAATAATATTGAAAACAACCTCTATAAGCTTTGATGTAAGTTGCACCTTAGCTGGTTTCCGGGTCGAGGCCAGGAATAGTTCCTTTAGCAATAACTGAACTTCCTCTTGCCGGATTCTAGCAAACATGGCGACTCGGCTTGTGGAGAAGAGCTCCAATCGTGCTATTGTTATAATCCATGTGTTTGCCAGCAAGCAACTGAGGGCGGTTGGCAAAGATGATATCATTTTTTGTAAAGCACTCTTCGGCTGCTGATGCTGAGGAGACAACGAGCACTTTACAAGTTCCGAATTGAAGGAGCAGAATGGGGCCATATTTCTCTGAAAGTTGATGAAGAGTTCGATGAATAGGTTGTTTTAGAAGATGGTGATGGCCTACGATTGGCAAAGCAGGAGGACTAGGAGGCAAATTTCTTCGACTTTTACGTTTCTGTATGATGGATTTGAAAACTAATGCAGAGAGGAGAAAGAAGATGATGAGTGTGATGTTGAACAAACTAACAACTTCCATATTTTCTAACGCTGGCGAATTCAAGCAGACAACTCTCTTGTTTTAATTTTTACAGTAGGGGGCAAATTCTGCTCTTATAAATATCAAATTATTTCTCCAGCTTACCAATATATCGATTACAAGTGTATATATAAGAGTGGATTGTCATAACCATTTTTTTTTTATAAAAATAATTTAATATTATTTAAAACGACGATTATGACTTTAATTTGACGAATTTGGGTGATTTGGATTAAAGGAATAGGAGTCGCCATCGACCTTTAGGTTAGGTAGGTCGAATACCTAAAAACATCTTTTCAAAACAATTTTAAGAAAAATCATTTTTTAAGACAAAATTCGGTCTGCGTTACCAAAGATTCATTTAAATGGATTCGGGAGTCGGTTACGCGTGGGGAAGGGTAAGCACTCCCACAACGCCCAAAATTGGTACTGTGTCGCTTACACGTTGTCGTAAATGGTGGAAATGATGAAGCGAATATAAAGCTACAAGATGATCTGTTTATTGAACATTGATTAATTTACTTCAAATTAATTAATTAGAAAAAATTCTTTAACTCGAAAAGAAATCTCGAAATTAACAATCCTCCATCGGGAAAGCTAACTCGACTATTCCTTATCCATAAAGAATATTTCCCTCTTTGATAAAATGTGAATCGAATATGAATTGAAAATCGATATTAACATCAAATAAAAATACCACAAAACAAATGTATTGAATTATTTGAATAAACAAGATTTAATTGGTAAAATGAACTATATTTATTTCAAGTTCACATTTGTTAAAATGTCGTATCGGATCGCATCACTTCGACCAAGTGATACTTTCCACGCACGTTCTACAAATTTGTGTTCTTGAAAACATTCGAACAATATTTAAATAAAGAAATGCATTATAAATAACTATAAATAGAAATATGCAAAATACAATATTTACAACAAATATAGTCAAATATTTTTTTTTTATATATGATACAAATACATAACATAAAAAACATGTACATACATAAAGAATTAAAATAAAAGAAAATTAATATTACAAACCAAACTGTAATGACCAAAAATAAAGTACTTGAAATTTCAAAGACCAAAATAGCAAACACATAAACTCAAAGAACCAAAATAGTACAAACATGAATTTTAAAGGGCTAAAGTCGAAGAAACACAAGTTAAGGACCAAACTGAAATTACACAGAAACATGAAGGATCAAAAATATTTAAACCAAATACCAAAACAGTGACTAAAACAAAAGATGCACCAATCTGAGGGCCAAATTCGAACATCAGCCAAAATCACACAACACATGTAATAAGTGACTAAAATAAAATTATTATAAATATCATAGCCTAAATTAAAACTAATGAAATTGAAATAAATAACCAAATATGGACTGAAATGAAACAAATCTAAACTCTAAGGCGTAAAATCAAATAATTACACAAACCATGCAAATGAGGACTAAAACAATTTCACAGAAATACGGAGGATCAAAAAGTAATTAAACAAAATGTCGGACAGTGACCAAAATAGAACATTTGCAAATATGATGGCTAAATTCAAACACCCACAAAATATCATAACACAAGAAATTAGGACTAAATTAAAATATTTATAAATGTGATGGCCATATTCGAATGTCAAAGAAACATACACGAGATATTAAATCAGTGGCTAAGATGTAACATTTATAAATATTGAAACCAGAACCAAATATAAACAAAAATGTTATAATACCTAGGATAGTGATTAAAATATAAAAGTGAAAAGATAAAGGCTCAAATTGAAATAATATAAACTTCATTCCATGGCTAAATCGTGAGATTACAAGGATCAAGGACCTACAGTGTAGTTTACCCCTTTTAATATGAGAAACACGGGAAGAATGATACAAAGATGTAAGGACCAGATGGACTATTTACCCTTTTATGCTGAAACACGCATACCCTGACCCCTTTAAACGGCGTCGTTTTGGGTCCATTATAACCCAAAATAAGGGTTTCGAAACCCTTGTTTTTCTCATTCTCAGCCGCTCTCATCTCTCCCTTTATACTCTCCCCTTTCCCTCTTGCTTCCTCGCCACGAGGAGAACAGAGCACCAAGGGCTCCCCGGCCACCGTAGATCGGTGGCCACAGGGATTAAATAAACCCCCAAAGACCCCCAGTTCCTCACCCTCTGTTACCCATGGTTCAACCGAGCCTCATAAGGCTCGAAGAACACCGCAACCACCTCCTTGAGCCATGAAACATCCTCTCAATCTAAACTCCACAGTTAGGGACTCCAATGAAGACCCTAGAAAGGTAAAATCTCCTCCTTTTATCTATTTTTTTGTCTCGAATATGTTTTTTTTTCTCGGTTTTTTTTTTGTTTTTCCCCGAATGGGTTCCTCACCCAATGCTCTCTGGTTTCTCTTTTCTTTTTTTCAAAACCCGAATGCCCCTCTTTTCTCTACTGCATGTGCTTTAATCTTGCCTTTGGTTGAGATGATGAGGTCTAGGAATAGGGGAAATTATGGGTTGTTGATTTAGGGTGATTGAATCTCGGATTTTCGGGATTATAGGGATTTTTTATTTAGGGTTTGGATATATATATATTTTTTTACTGATTTGGGTTGATTTGGGACTGATGGGGTTGCTGTTTGATTGATTTTTCACTGTAGATGACGATGGTGGCGCGGGAACGGCGGCTGGACCATCGGAGTGGGCCGGAACAATGACGGTGGCGTGGCTGTTCATCTGCTGTTGGCGGCGGCGGCTGGATGATGATATGTTTAGGGTTTAAAACCCTAATTGCTTGGGTTACTGAGCGGGCCTGGGATTGGTATTGGGCCTGAACCGGGTCTGGGCTCCAAGTCTTGTAATTCTGGGTCGGGCTTGGTATCTGATGGGCTTCGGGTTTGAGCCTGCAAAAATTTGTAATATATTAATAACAATAAATAAGCATAATAATAATAATAATAATAATAACAATTACAATTAGATAGAAAAGACCCAGACAAAAACGGGTGTATACATATCCATAAAATGAGTTGTACGGTTTACTTTTATCTGTTTGACCTTAGAGGTGTTAATTAATATTGTATTTCAAATGAGGTGTTAAAAATATAATAAATTTTTAAGTTAACTCGGTGATCGGATGTTTTTTGAATCTCATAAAAAGTATTTTTTATAAAGTGACTTTAACAAAACGACATCTTTTTAATCGGACAACCACATCAACAACATTATGGCATGCAACTATCATATCACCATCCCATTAAGTCATTAACGACGTAATTACATTTAAAAATAAACATTAATTCTAAAATTGACATAAAATTTAATAATATAAATAAGTCAACAATTAAAGTTTGTTTATATCTAAGTAATTTTTTCTTAAATTTTTCTGTCAAATTAATTCAAGGTGATCAACTTATTTATAAATTGCAAATATAAGATACTATAAAACAATTCCCCGTTACCATGCAAGTATACACATAATTGACCAATACCTGGAGGAAGAACCATTTAATCCAAAAATTTCAATGTATAATTTAAATACAATATATTCTTATAACAAAAAAATCTCAGCATCAGCCTAAAGAACTACTTACAATCAGCCAATCAACATGATTATGTTCTAAGCATCACTAAGATATACTAAAGTCCTCTACTCGTTAGAAAACATTTCTCTAGTTAGTCTTTTGATGCTCAAATATTCATTTCACCCACATTCAGGCCTTCTCCCAGAAGTTGACTTATAGAAATTACACATCAGAGATCACATATATCAACTTTCACAGCTTCAACATCTTCAAAATAAGAATCTGGAATCTCTGGACATGCCGGCATTGTTGCCACACATTTGAACTGTTCCCAGAGCAATCAACATTATTTCAATGAGATTTCAACGTGACAATATAACTGATTATCGTTTATTAATGCTTAGTACCAAATGTACATACCTTATGTTGCTTGTATTTCTCTCTAACTGCTTGAAGTGCACCTCCTCTTCTACTCAAATGCCAGTCATGCATGATAAGGACACATTCTTTTAGATCAGAGGCTTTGTAGCCTGAGTACTCTTGCATGGCGGAGCTCTGCATAACACGGATGATTAGTATATCATTGCCACATATGGAGTAAAACCAACAGCATAAAATGGCCTGAAAGAAGGAACTCTTAAGCCTTACCCAAGGATGTCTCTTAGGTTGAATTATGAAACTTGCAAGAAACAAAACAGAAGCAGCAACCCTTGAAGGTAGAAACTTTACACACCCATATTCCAACAAACTCAACTCCGCAAGGTAACATCCAAGGAACTCTAGCTGCAAGCTGGAAGCCTATATAAGATAAAAATAAAGTCTACAGTCAATAACAGATAATAATAATACACTTGAATTGACAGATGCAAGGAAAATATGCATTTTTCATACTTTGTAATCCTCTTGTGCATCTCTGGTAAATCTCCTGAAAAACATCAGAGAAAACACAAACCACAAATAAAGCATTAAGTTTCTGGCAACTGGCATTAACCGAAAAGTATTGTCGAGAGAAATCTATTTTCAAAACAACTCTTACCTCAAAAATGTTTTAACAGTTGGATTCCCCAATTCAAACTTCAATGCCTTGAGTATATCTGCCTCCATTTTGACCACCTTCGCATTTAGGCAACAAATTTCACGAAATGAATGAAGCAATGAACTATAAATATGAAAAATGAAAAAGACAAAGACAAAGAAGTATAAGAAGGGGAAAGATTACCTCTTCTTTCCTGTAAGTATTGTCTGTTATATAGCAAAAGTCTTCCACATTTGGAGGATTGATTTCCTCATACTTTCTACTTGAAACAACCACAGGGGAAAAAATGAGTACAACATTTATGATAATTTCAAATACAAAAAAAATTATAGAACTATGAAGTAAATCAGAAGCTTACGATGCAATCAGCATCGAAGATACACCCAGAAGTTGAAGCTTTTGCCTATTGAGGGCATTTAAAGATAGGTATCTATCAATGTAGGAGACCGCTATATATAGAGTATCTGAAAGGAGCTTGTATTCCTCTGCAACTTCCACCAACCAGTCCACCAAAATCCCTCTCATATTTGTACTAACATCCTTCTGCACATTCTCAATGTAATCAGGTAATGGCCTTTTCTTCGGATCCACCTGATATTAATTGCATCAACCAAAAAGGGGGAAAGTCCTTCAGTGAACTGACCATAAGTCGCAATTGTCAACAGACTGACGTTACAAATTTATCGCTAACCCAAATTTCCTTAATTTAGTTACTATGACAAGATTAAAGCAATGTTTCAGATTAAATACCGTAACGTTTCAAATAATGCCGTCAGAGAAGGTGTTTTCAATCTGAAAAGAGTAAATGAGAGAAAATACCTCCATTTGGCGAAGATATTCGTATATATCAGACACGTAATGGCCACACATTTGTGGATCTTCAGATTTAGCATCAATATCCGCCGGTTTATCATGTTCAGATTCTTTTTTGCTCACCTTTAAAGCCGGCTTTACCACTCTCGTCTTTGCCTTGAGCTTCCCTTGATGATGCTTCTTCTGGTTTTCCTTCCTCTGAACATTAATCCCCGAAACAACGACGTTGGACAAGTTGGAAAGCTCCCCCAAAACAACTCTTTTCTTGGTCACCACTCTCTCCTCCGTTAACCCCGCCGACTGGGCAACCCGCTTCTTGGAGGCCGCCCTTGTCACTCTGATACAGCTCTCCTGTTGGGCCATTGCCTCTTGCTCCCTTTCTAACACTCGGGCTAATCCTTTGCAGTTGCAGAGAGAGGGAAGAAGGGAACGGGGAACAGTAGCAAACGAAGAGGAGAAAAGATAGAACCGGGTGCTCTGCTGTGACTGTGAGGGAAAGAGAGTGAGAATAAAAGGGGTGAAGGGAGAAGCGCCATTTGGGATTTTGTTTTCAAAATCTACAGGATTGGCGGCATTTAGTACAACTCTGCGTTCAGTTTTTGAGTCTCTTATTTTCCTATTTTTTGAGTTTTGCGGGATCCCAATTTTTTAAATCGATTTCTATTTTGGGCTCTGAAATTTGAAAACAAACGCAGTGTTCTTTCGTTTCTATGGCGGGGATTTGGTGAATTTATTTTCCTATATTTTAATATCTCAATTCTTTTTCAATCATTTAACTTTTAGAATTTATATTATTATTAATTTATCACAAAATAATTATTCAAACGTTAAATTTTAGTGGTATTTAATGATGCAAAATCTTAATAAAAATGATAAATTTCTAATTTAATTCTTAATTTTTATTTAAAATATCAATTCAATATTTTTCTCAATTTTCAAGTATATAAAATAGTCTTAATACTATAATAAATATATATAAAAGATTCAAAACATGCCACATTATAAGTGTAACATGAGTTAACATTAAAGTGATTATTTTATAATAAATTAATAATATAAAGTAATAATTCTAATATTATTAATGTTATCAGCCTGTGAAGGAACCTATAATGGCACACGGAAGGAACTTATAATTAATGTGTAATTAGATTATGGATTTGTGTTATACCGGAAAATATTATAGTTTAATTCTCTTTGAACAAGACTCCACGTACATATGATTATAGATCTAAACTTAAATAATATTTACTAGATACCACTAAATTATGTTACAAACTTCATACGATTATACTAATAGTTGTTATCGTAATTTAATTTATACATATTTGAAATTTATTCAGACATATTATTATTATCAATAAAAGATCAATCAATTATTGTATTTATTACAAATTTCCAATGAATGTGAATATAAACATCTCAATATATATTATTTTAATTCATATTACTTGTGTGAATATAAATTACATGTCAAACATTTAAATCGATCTTTATACTATAAAATCGAAAATATATTTACTTATAAGGGATTTCGAACTTTGATCATCTTAAAATTTAACAACTTTAGTTTTTTACAAATTCAATTTATATTTTTTTTCAATTTCTTATTCATATGATTCAAAATTTGAATCCAGACTTTTATGGTTAATAGAATTTCATTTAGATTTAAATTCATATAATATTACTTAGATAATTCGAGAGTAAAAAACAATTCAAATATTAAAAGTATATTTATAAATTCGAATAATTAAAAAATTATAGATCTTCAACGCATTATCAGGGCTGGTCCAATGAGTTTTAATGCCCTGGACAAGATAATAATTTCATGTCCATATACTTGTAACGTATAATAGACAAAGCATAAATATTTTTTTTAAAATAAAAATGTAATAGAAATTATAGTCAAACAATATCAATACTAATACAAACCAAAACCTACAAGACATTAAAAAAAGTTTTGGGCTAATTTTTTTGGGCCAAATATATATATACACATTATAAGTATTAGAAAACTGATGCCCTCCTCAAACATGCTAAGGTCAATCTGGTATATGTATTGGGTCGGGCCTGCGCATTATGATTCCTACTTTGAAGTTCTGTTAGTATCAACGTTGTTAAAACTATTTATCATAATATGCACAATATTTATATAATTTTTTACAATAATTAAAAATTTATATTTTTATGGGAATAATATATTAACGGTTATCAAAATAAATATTAATGAACTCATATCAATAGAAAAAATAATTTCAATGACCATTTAATTTTTTTTTTTAAAAATCATGATAGAATTTGAATGCAAAATATTCACTAGACAAACTTAGCATATTTTGTTGATTGAATTCAATGATAACATGTAAAACGTAGAAGAAAACGTTTGCGTAAAACATTGACGCGCCAGGTAGAAACCTACGACCTTCTGCTTAGGAAACAGACGCTCTATCCACTGAGCTACAAGCGCTTGAGCCATGCTACAAATAAATAGAACTTTATTAAATGATATCAATGACGTAACTTTAGCATCTGTCGATTCATTACTTCATCGAGATGCAAATAAATATAATTTTTTATCTACACAGACATTTTTTTGCTTGATCTTGGAAAATATCATTTAGTGGACGGGGGGTTTTCAGCGGTGCTCCATCCAACTCCTTTTTAAATGTACCGAAGAGTTTGGAACCTAAATTTTGTGAATGTACCGAGGGAATGCAATCAGGTCGCATATAGGTTGGCAAAGATGGCATGGGCGTTACCTTTTGGTGTTCAGACCTTGACAACTCCACCAGAGACAGTGCGAGGATTGTTCATTGCTGAGTGTCCTTTGGAGCAATAGGAGACTTGGACCTCTGGTTCTAGCTTAGTTTTCTTTCTACTGTTTGTAATTAAAAATATCATACTTTTGTTGACAATTTTCTTGGTAAAGCATAAAAACAAATAAATGCTAAACCGGGATCCAGAACCAGCATTAACCTGATCTCCCGGTACAATCTATAGCAGTAATATTTTTAACTTGGATTGCATATCCATGACAACAATAAGGCTGCCGCGTCATTACTATGCAGGTGTGGTTAACTCCAAGTCCAACCCTAGGAACATCATATTAATATTTGGTTTAAATGTTTCATCAAAGGTGTATGATCTAACAAAAGCCTCAGCATGTTCAACACAGAATGGATCATGTCGGCTCAAACTTCTGTTTCCCAACATTAACATGTCATTAATTTCAACACTTGAGAACTGTAAGGACTCACCCTTTTTGTAATTCAATTAAATTGAAATTTTCATAATTAAATTTTGTGCTCAACACCCGAGAATGACATGGGACTGTAAATCACGTTAGCACTGTTATTATGGAGTGCGGTGGACTGTTGCCCGTAGCAAACTGAGGGCCGTTGCGTTTTGTTCTTTTGTGCCGAGAGAATCATCGGCCTTGATGCTAATAGCACCTCACAAAGTTCATTTTATTTCTTTATTTTTTTTCAATCAAGCTTACCAAATGTTTGGCAAGATTAAGCTATCTCCTGGACCCCTTTTAGGAATCAAGATTGAGGACCAGAGTAACAAATGGCAGCAGGCAGCCTAATATACGTATCTCAAAGAATCTGCCTCATTTGGCAGGATTTAGTTGTAACAATAGTTTGTCCTCGATGAATTTATCAAATAGAAAGGCGAAAGATTCCGAGCCATTTGGCACATTTACTTCAATCGGCTTTGTTAGAAATGTTGCATCATTAATAAATTATTAACGGCTAAAACTGCTTGCTTTTGCATTGCATACTACTCGCAAGACCGAGTAGTATAATCTTAGGTAAAGAACACAAATGCTCCCCTAACTATACAACAGTACTTTGTAATAAGATATTATTTTGTAACTTTTAATAATAAAAGAACTCAACAAATCATTATTATATAGTCGGGAATAATTTATGCACTCTATCCTATAATATTATCCTATTGATTCACGTCACTAGTTGCCCAACTACCATTCTCCAATACCATAAATAATTCTACCAGGATCAGAAATGGATCCCCAAATTAAATCTCCTTTCCTCCTCTCATCAAATCCATGGAAGCCTCGCTGTTCTACTACGTTGTCTTCTACTTCTTCTTCCTCCTCTACTTCCTTACCAGAAAGTTGCTTGATAAAAAACGACTCCCACCAAGCCCAGCTCTTTCCCTTCCTGTCATAGGCCATCTCCATCTCATTAAAAAGCCACTCCATCGCACCCTTGCTAAGCTTTCCAAGCAACATGGTCCTGTTCTCTTCTTTCAGTTCGGGTTTCGTCCTGTCCTTGTCGTGTCTTCTCCATCAGCTGCAGAAGAATGTTTCACCAAAAACGACGCTTTATTGGCGAACCGCCCTGTTAGGAAATAAACCAAGTACAAGTAATTTCCCTATAACCAGATTAGTGAAAATGCGAAATAAAAGCGGAAAAATAATACCCAAAATTTGATAACGGAGTTCAGCCAATTTATGCTTACGTCTCCGGACTGCTGCAGATCTTTTACTAAGAGAAAATTTACAGGTGTTTACACAACACACTTGAGAGAGAACTAGAAGATTTTGGGATGATTTTGAAGCTAAATGAGCTAGGGTATTTATAGTTAAAACTTAGGGACTAATCTTTGAAAATACTCTAAAGTCTAGTGACCAAAAATAAATAACCCAAGCCTAAATTCAACAAAATTAGGCAGCCACCCATTTATTCAAAGCAGCCCCCCCACCTTTGAATATCAAGCAGCCACCGGCTGCTAGTATTCATATTTGACCAACAATCTCCCACTTGAAGACTGATTTTAATCTATCTTCACACCTCGATCGATGCAGCAGCTTTTCTAGTCTTGTTACTCTAGCATGCCAACTGAAGTTGAACACAACTTCAGTTTGTCCGTGGTCACCGTCTTTGTCAACATGTCTGCTGGATTTTGAGCTCCACTGATCTTTTCAAGTTTCAAAATCCCATCTTCCAGAAGAGACCGGATAAAATGATATCGCAATTGTATGTGCTTCGTCCTGGAATGAAAAGACGGATTCTTCGCTAGATGGATAGCACTTTGACTGTCGCAATATAAGACATTGTTTTCTTGTTTCTTGCCTAACTCATTCAAGAAACTTTGGAGCCAGACCATCTCTTTGCTGGCTTCCGTAACAGCGACATATTCTACTTCGGTTGTGGAGAGAGCAACTATCTTCTGTAGTTGAGAAACCCAACTCACTGCGGTTCCTCCTAGAGTATAGACATACCCTGTAGTGCTTCTTCTGATGTCAACATTTCCGGCTAAGTCAGCATCTACATAGCCTGTCAGTATCGTATCTCCACCTTTGAAACAAAGTGCTTTGTTTGTGGTACCTCGCAGATATCTGAGGATCCATTTGACTGCTTCCCAGTGTATTTTGCCTGGATTATTCATGTACCTGCTAACAGCTCCCACTGCTTGAGCAATATCTGGTCT